CCATAGCTGCACACACATATCTACATCATGAAGACTTAAAAGAGAAAAAAGAGTATGTCATATGAAAAAAGGGTAAGACAAAACATTCTTAATGAAAATGTTTACCAAGATGTAACCATCTGAAATTAAGCACAGCAAAATTATTCCTTTCAAAAGTTAACTCCCCAGAAGAAACCTGCAGCTTGCCATCTTTAACTTGCTTATGAGAATATAAATAAGGACACAGACCATAGGTACCTTTTTAACTTTCCTACTGGAATGCCAGTTGCATTCTTGTCACACATTCTACATTAGTGTTTGACTGATCTCTTTTATGTATAAGGACCGGACAGCTTTGAGACTCCCATGAGTATAGGGCCTGCCATTTGTCCAGGGGGCCACAATTAAGGATATATTTGACCCTCATCTGGGATGAGCCACTTTTCAATTCTGTTCAAATTCAGCCACCTTGTGTTGTGTTTTTGCAAGAATTTTATTTATTTTTAAATATAAGGACTGGGGTATAGGTCAGCGGTACTGGAGGTGAGAGGATTCACCAGAAACAGAGCGGGGAGCAGGACAGGTAGATCTACTGAAATACACTGCTGAGGGGAGCAAATAGTGGGCTATTTAACTCTTGTCTCCAAATGTAATCACATAGGATGTTATGGTTGGAGAGGAGGTTCAATTCAATCCATAACAGAAGCCAAGAAAACAGTCTATTTCATATACAGCCTAGAATTGAAAAAAAAAAAAGCAAAAAATGATCAAAAAAATTATTTTGTTAGTAGTATACCTCTCTTTTGTGAGGTAATGCAGCAATGCCTGCACCAGCCCCTTTCCACTCCAAATCTTTCGATCTGTACCTGCCCAGGACCTTCTTGATCAAAAACCTGCAGCAGACACCTCCCCCAACCTTCAGCCAGGCACTGTGCCAAACACCCCACACAGATGTTAACTGATAATTCAGTAAGTTTCAGTTAAAACCCTTATTCTAATCCAAACCTCAGGGATCTTTTAAATGTCTGCAAATGCTCTTTCTCAAAAATTACTGATGCATTTGCCTTTTTTTTTTTTTAAAGGAGGAAGTGATGGCCTCTCCGTTTGAAAAGTAATACCTAAAATAAAGAATCAAACCCCTCTGCATCACCCCCCCAAAGCAGATACTTTAGAAGTAATAATCCTAACAGGCTCAATTTAGATTAAAAACATCCCAGTTAGATGTACCTGGCATATATGTTAATATTGATTCTTAGATAATTTTCAGTTGAAATCTTCATGTGTCATTGTAATGATAAGCTTTACATTGCTTTCTGAGGTTTTAACCATAACTTCTTAGTCAACTTCTGTCAACTGAACAGAAGACCAATCTATCATTTAGGCATTTGAAAATCACTGGTGTCAATTATTTTTATTAATTTTAATAGGTGACTGCTAGATTACCTTCCTAATTGCAAATATATTCTCTTTTGCCCAAGACCTGACAATGCTGTTAAAATTCAACTTTCTCAACTCTTCATTACATTTGTAATGAACATGAGTGAGATTTCCAATATATTAAGCTAGAGTTTTAGATTTCGGAATCATCTGTTACACAAATAAAAATAAATCACTTTTACCAATTCTGTTCCTATCTACTGACATAGAGGCTAAAGGGACTTTATCCTATGTGTCAAACTCAAAGTCTGAAACAGCTTGCTGTCAGCTTCAGAAATCATTTTTATAAGCATGGCACACTGCCTCAAGCCAACTAAACACTAAAGCTGTTGGGCTGCCCACACTGCAAATTATTTGGAATGTTCTCCATGTTTTGTGGTTGCAAAAGTACCTATTTTGTGGATCACCCAGTTCATATTCGGACCACATTTGACCTTTATTTTTAAATGTGTTTCATATTTTAGTGTATAGTTAAAAAGCAACAACGCTGAAAAATAATCCAAGTCTAAACAAAGTAATAACTAATCCTTAGTTTCATTAAATATCTAATCAATTTGAATTTTCAATCACATTATATGTGTCATAATTTGTCCTACTAGTTAACCATGCAGAAATCACTAGGCTAGAGAGACACAAGGCAGCGATTATTCTAGAATAGGGATCGTGGTCCAGGATCACAACCTGGTTAGGACCACATCTGACTTAATGAAAAAGTCTCAGGAAGCTGAAATTACAAATGACCAACATCTCCTCTGTTCTGAAAGTCTGCAGTCTAAGGCTCACAGTCAAACATTTAAAATGTTATTTTTCTGAAAGGTGAGAAAAACAACATAAATTCTGTGACTTATTACTGTCTGTTTCAAGTAAGCCCTAAGAACTCATCCTAACTACTTCATATTGTAAAAGAAGGAAAAAATTGCTACATACAACAAAGAACATTTGTAGCAAATATATTTCTAGTAAATGCCAAGCAAACTAAAGCACAAATCAGTCTAAAAATTTTCATTTCATCCCTAATGTTATACACATGCTGAAATGCAGCAGCTTCAGCTGTAACTATGTAAGACATATTCCAAAGTTCTGTGTGTAGTGATAGCAGCATGGAATTACAGGTATTATTTAAGATATTATTTTCCCAAGCATTAATGTGTACCTCTTTCAAATCAAACACTGAGCATTTCACAAACTGGATTACCAAAAAGTAATGGCCTTCGACTTGTCTGTGGTCTACTCTCTAGTACCAAACCTATAGGTACTGCTTTAAGGTCATTTTTGTAGTGTTAAAAAAGGAAGCATTATATTTACAATTGAGATTTTAACTAAGGATTCCTACACTGAAGATAAATTATTGAAGCTTAAGAATTTCTGATTTAATCATCCATTAATGGGCTACTTCATTCATTTTGATAAATATGTAGTTAGGATGATTGGCATATGGTCCCATCATCCAAGCCTGGTAAGAACATGTTGGAAAACAGTATTTTTAACTGATATTGATGAAAATGCTGAAGAGATGACAAGCCCCAGCAGGAACTATTTTTAGCTTCTAATCTTTTAGAACTGCTGTGCTTAATGTATGTTTATTATCAAGCACCTGAACAATTTTGTTGTATACAGTGCATTTATCTGCATTATATATACTTATATATACACCATGTGTATATTCTATATATATATATAAAGACAGACTTTATAATATATGATACAGTTAATTTCAAAAAGAATCATTCACAAATAATCATCTCCAAATAAATCACATACAAAATCTCTAGGAACTCTTATTAATAATTACAATTCTAGGAAATAAGTCACATCTACCTTAGAACCCCCAATTCTTTTGGAATGTGTACTTTCTTGCCTGGAGTCCAACCACCTTAAGGGACAATAGTAATTGCAGTTAGGACTTTGAGTATGTAAGTTTTTATAAACAAATTCTTTGTCTTGAATGTTCAGTTTAGCACAAATCTTCAGAAAATGTCTGAGATATTGTTGTTGTTGTTTTTGAAGTTTTGGTCCTGGCATATTTGACAACAGAGTGACAAAATCTATATCCCAAACAATATGTTCTATTAATGGTTACTTGGTAATAATTTTCTTTCAAAACTTTCCCACTGCAATAAATAAGACACTACAATATTCTGTCCAATCTGGTAGGGCATCTTTCACTCATACAGTTTCATGTAAATCATTTGCCTGAGAATTTAAATACTTCAAGATACTGTTTAAAGCAGCTCCTATGTTCTATATTTATTTTTTCAAAATAACCTGGATGATGTACTCATTTATGTCAGTAAAATTCTGGCTATGCAACACTTCACAAAACATAGGGACTTTTAATCAGCACTTTTGATTTGTAAGTGAAATCAACTGGTACACAATGTGAATGGAGAAGATAAAAAACAGGAGCAGAAAGGTGTGATGTAGACCTGGGGGTGTGAGAAATCTGACTTCCTTCACCCACAGGACCACATGAAAAAAAGAACTTACCCATCTGTGTAATAAATGTACTCATATATCAGGAGTCATCAAGTAATTACATGTATTACGTACCTCACTCACGGGTAAAACCATCTGAAGCAATGTTGGACTGACTACATGAAACGTCTGGTTTTATTTATGATTCTTAGAAATACTACTTCTAAATTAGTTGGAACCGTCTTAGTCTAAGATATCATGAAAACCAAATTCACCAATAAACAAAGATAAAATTAAAATGGTTAGAACTTAATTCTGCCTACTGATAAAATGCATCCTACTATGAGGATGACCTGTATTTTTTTTTGAGTGTGAGATTCCAAATATTTCAGGAAGGACGAGATGATCACGTACAATTTGAGTCATGGGGGGGGGGTAAATTCAGTGAATGTATGGGGGAGGGTATTTCTTTGATGCAGTGCCCTGAGCCTCTGTATATTTCTTTTCTTAAAAAAAAAAGCAAAGCAAAAAAAATGAATGTTTCCCAAAGGGGACGGGCAAGGAGGTCTAAAATCAGGGCGATGCTGAAGTCTTCCAAGGCTGAAAGACACACAGCGCCTCAAGCTTACCCACATGGGAGACAACCTCTCGCAACTGCCGGAGCTCGCCAGCAGCCTTCCAACTTGGGCAAATAGGGTGAATTTCACACCCCCACCCCCCACCCCCAGAGCGACGCGACCACACTGTAAAAGTTGAAGAGGATTCTAGCCCCTTCCTCGCATTCCTGGCACTCAGATCCTCACGCAGAGCCCCCGCGGAAAGATGGGCGTTGGGTGCCGACCTGCAACCGACGGGTTTCCTAGAAGGCCTAACTGCTCCAGCCGGCAGGGGATGGGGGTCAGGGGGTGTCGGGAGACTAGGCCAGGCGGCACCGGGGAAACCGAGTCCCGGCTGGGCCCCCAGCGTGTGGGGCCGGCTGCAGAAATAACTCAAATCCAGCCGCAAATACCTTCCCGAAAACCCCAGCTGCTCCCGCACAACTTCGGTGGAACCTGCCTCCGTCTCCGCCACACACTCCACCCAGCCTCACACCCTTCCCGACGCCGAGGTTCAAAGCGCTCCGGCGCGGGCAGCTACCTGTCCCGGGGGCCCAGGACCCCAAGTCTCACCTCATACAAAGGGTTGCGCGCGGGCGCCCGCAGAAGATCCCAGGGAGCATGGCCCCATCCAGTCCCTCCCGGAACTTTCCTGACATAGCCCTCCTCTCCTCCGCAGCACAAAACCCCGCTCCGAGGCAGAGGACGCGGAGGAACGGGAGGAGGCGGCGGCGGCGGCGGCGGCGGCGGCGGGAGCAGAAGCAGAAAGTGAGGAGCACAGGCGACCAGCGCCGCCGCCTCGCGAGCTGCCGAGGGGTTCCCGCCCCCAGGGTAACCAAAGCTCCCTCTTAAAGGCGCCCGCCGCATTTTCGGAGGGGGGTGCGGGAGGAAGGGGGAGGAGGCAAGTCAAGAAGGAGGGGTAAACATTTAAAGAAAATCTCGTATTTTTTTTTAAAGCAAACTTTTAATTAAAAACAAGTGTCAGTAAGGAAGAACTGAGAATTTGAACTGAATTAAAAATTATCTGGACTATTTTTTATATACAAAGATAAATCAGGACACCAAAGTGGTTTCTTCATTCTCATAGGCAACACTCAAGCTCTTTCTCCACAAGCATATTTTTCTTTGTGTATCCCCTGCTTCTATTACTGGCAACTTTCCAGTCAGCTAAGCATGAACCCTGGAAATTGCTCTGGATGTCCTGGATCTCCATCTCCTCAGCCGAACCGCATTCAGTCAGTCTCTCTAGCCCTCCTTCATCCCTGTACTTCTGCATCGGCCTAGGCAACACTTCATCATATTGCGATAACTTACCCTGGCAGGTGCAGTTTCCAACTTTACGTAAAATGCCAATAATCTGCGCATGACACCATAAAGGTGTTCCTGAAGGGACTGAGTTTATAAGATTCAGTGACTTTACCTCCTAGAGGTCTAACTGAGGCCAGACAGGGAAATGGCGACAAGAGAGCACATGCATCTACTCACACAGAGTCACGCTTAACCTGTTCCACAAGTAGCCCACAGTCCACACAATCACTGATGAAACGTCTATAGAACAAGGCACATATCCCTGTGGTTGGGTCTGAAGACACAAAGAAATGACAATCTGAGAGCCAGTCATTGCCATTCTCTACCAGCTTCTCAGAGATGCTCAGGACTTGGAATGACCATTAAAGGCAAAGCCTTAAAAAGATTCTACATCTCATTCCTACATGCCGAACTTCATGATAATAGAAATATGAACAAATGGCAATACCTCACAATGATGATGACAGTAGAGAACTAAACTAAAATGTTAAAGCCAAAATCTTAATGATTTCCTGTCAGTGGGATCAACCTTCAGAGGCAAGTCATAAAGTTGTACCATCTTGCATTTTGTCTCCTTATATATCTTCCATACATCTTTTCTCTCAACTTAGATATTGAGATTCTAAGCACTTCTAGATTCCATGTCTCTAATGATTGTTCTCAGTGCCTAGGTTGATTAGCCTCAGCTGACTTTCCCACAGCATAATTACGCAAAGGTCTCCTTTCCGGGTCTGGGAGTTCCAGAGCACATGATGCCACAGAAGGGCCAGGCATCAGCTGGGGAGTCAAATGAAATGAGCATTATGCTCAGGTCTCCCTTCATCAGGTCTTCAGAGAACCCAGGATGCCAGGGATGTTTTGCTGATGAGGACCCGAATCAAAGGACTTAGTAGCCAAACATACCTGCCATTGCAATGGAGTGTGACAATGATGGTTAATTACAACAAACAAAAATTTAAAAGAAAAAAAAAAAGGAGGAAAGGAAAGGGGATAAGTAGAGAAGTCTTGCTCCCCAGAGCCACCATTAGGAGCAACCCTAGCTGCTGCTAAACTGGTCCTTTTCTGGCTTTCAATCTACTCCCAGTCAGGTCTGAGCGTACCTCCACTTGGAGAAGGACACTAAGGGTGGGTAGGACAGGGCAGGGCTTCAGACTTCATGTGGGGAACTGCCTTGGCCTCACCTGGTCCTTGGCTTACACATCCCCTCAATCCATGGAGATTTATGATATTCCTAACTGTCTGTATATACTGTTTAGTGTCACAGTTTCTCCCTCACAATGAGGCACAGCCCTTACCAGTGTCCCCAAAGGAAAGGCATGCTGAACTGTACATCATAACTGTGTTTCCTCTCATGTTTTCTGTAATTCTTCCTTCAGTTCCAACACAATGAAGGTCTTCCTGAGGAGTGCAGGAAACTGATGAATTAAAGACCACTGTCTTCTAGACTGACCTCTGAAGTTGCCACAAGATTCACTAACTGCCTTGCTTTCATCTTCCAAAGGCCAGTTGCCAAGTTATTTCCACCTGTATTTCTTGAATGGCTGACATTCATCAACAAACACTGGCTGTAAAGATAGTCAAACAGAATGGATGATGTCCTCTCTCCCCCAAAACATACTGCTTAAAGATCTCAATGATACTGGAAAAGCTGATTTCAAGTGACAAGATATAATGTTTTTTCCAGCAATTGTCAACATTTGTGATCACTGCTGAGACCACAGTGGGGTACACCAAGTGCGGGAATGCCCTGGAGAAAAAAAGCATCAGCAGCTATCTTCACCCCAGGAGTGAACCACAATAACAGTGGGTGTGAGCCAAATGGATTGATTTTCTTTCTGATAGCTCCAACTTCTTGCTTCTTGCCCACAGGGCCTCAGCACAGTGCTGTGTCATTTGTACCCTGCAATGACCTCCAGCTGAGTTGGGAGTAGACAGACAATTCAGTTGAAGATGGGGCCTGGTCTCTAAAGTTGGTGGTGGCGGCAGAATTAGAGGAAGTAGTACTGTCTAACTCACAGTAGTAGCTTGAGACTAGACCTCTGTTCCTCCTCTTCTACCACCTGCAGCTGTGATACAAGCACACATTGACTGGTAGAGGGAGAGGGTAGGAGACAGTATGCAAAAGACTGGCAAACTTCCAGTCACCAAGATTGGAAAACTTCTAGTTACCAAATGAAGAGAAAATAAGCCTCCTTGGATTTTAAGAGACATGATTCTCCCTGGACATGATAGAGGAGTTTAGCAGTAAGCAAGAGGAATAAGATCCTGGTTTTATAATAAACTCTATAGTGTCAAGATAGTTTTATATAATAGGTACCCAAATCAAACTGACTTAAGAAAACCTACAGTGGAAAGAGTTGGAATTTATTAACTCACAAGCTTATAAGTTCCAAAAGTAAAACTGACTGACTCAAAAAAAAAATTGAGTTTTTTAAAGCCTTTTTCTTTCTCCAGATGCTCCAAGAACATCAGGACTCAGTTTCTCTCCACATTTGGCTATAGTTTTAATGCATCTGTTTTATTTTCTTTTCAAGGTCTAGGCTTATAGCTCCAGGCTTTCATCTAATCTCCCTGGTAACTGATCCCATTAACAAGAGAACAGGCCTTGGAATGAATCTGACTGGACCCCCTTAGTTAGATTGTGTACCATCTCAAATGAATCACTGGTAACCATGGTTTGGAATATACACTGCAAGGTTCGGTCATTTGTCTTTGTCTTAACAATGTCAAGAGCGACAGTTTCAGAGCCTTCTCCCTAACCCACCAAAATACATCCAAACTGTAATGACTGAGTGGGAGAGAGGAGAGTCCCCAAAGGAAAATAGTGTTGTTAATAAAGAAGAAATGAATTAAGTAGAGAAGTAGAGACCATAGATGACCCATTACCCACAGTCTCACATTCTCCAACACACACCCCTACACCGCCATTACCACCACAACTACCAGAGATTCTCTACCCTTCTGATTTCTCTGCCAGCAGCCTCTTTTCAGGGGACTGTCAGTAATTGATCCAGGCTCATCATTGACCTCAGAAGTCACTGAAAAGTCCTTAGGGATGTTAGACAAATCACTTGCAAACAAGCAATAAATGTGGGCCTTGTATGAACTGTATTCAATAATTTTATTCCTAAATCATGATAACTCTACCTCCACACACCCCTAACTCCACATTCATTGTTAAGTTTTATGATATTATATAATCAATTCAACTTGATAAGATCCCATGGAAATTTCTTGTTCTATATATAGTCACTGAACTTGAAAAGGAAATGCAGCTTGTGAGTAATCCTATTTTGGTATCCCAGTAACACAGGGCCTGACTTCATTTTCAGCCCCCAATAAGTTCTTCTTTATCTTTTGTAGAGATAGCACAGAGGAGTTTTATATTTTGCTTAACAAAAATGCCCAAGTTTCAGGCTTTCGTCTTCCCACACAAGAATTTTTCTTGTAGTTGTTTATAAAAATGTTAAATATTTTCTTTTTTAGTTTCCGATTTCATAGAAATCTTTATATATAACAAAAGTATATAGAAAATTGGATGTCATTTTAGAATTAACCTAAAAGTGCCTTTTTATTTCAGGGATGAAGAAAAGAAGCTCAGAAATGGATTTATTTAAGGTTACATAACTGTTTTGAGCACCTGTGTTGTGCTCAGCTCTGTGCTAAACATTTCAAAAACTACCGAAGCAAAAGCATAGAACATGGCCACCATCCTCAAATAGATTAAATTTAGTTAAAAAGATATAATTGTTTAAGATATATAAGACAATCATGGAACATAACAGCATATATCATTTAGTGTAAAGACATATGATGAGTGCTGTGTTGTAACTACAGACATTGAAATAAGAGGTGATATGATCTGGAACATATAGCAAGCACGTTTTAATCAGGAATTAATTTGATGCAGAGAAAAAGAGGATGTGCTTTCCAAGTGAGAAAACAAAGGAAGAGATGGGGAAAGTGAGGAGGTATTGGTAGAGAAAAGGTCAACTTGCCATGTGTTGGAACAGAAAGAAATCTGTGCTGTCATAATTCAGAAGAAGGTTTCAAACTGCAAGTCATGAAATTTTTAGTGGGTTTTTGAACTATTATTTTCTTAATTAAATAAACATTAGAATGCATCATAATGAAATTAAGAATTATTAGTTAAGCTTGCATTTTATTATCTTGTTCTTCTAAGCTATGGTTTAAATTTCATGTCTTACTTTAGGTCATGTTCAAAATAGTTCCAAAGCTGGATAAGAGACTCGCTCTACAGCAAAACTTTAGGCAAAGGGGATCTCCTTGTTTGTGCAACAGGTTAAAGCGCAACACTATGAAGCTACAAGCTACAAGCTAGCCACAGCCACTTCAGCAAGAGTTTGACCCCCAGCCAGGGAGGTGACCCACAGGTGCAGCAAACTTCTCGCTGTTCCCCTCAGCAGTGTACTTTGCCAATCTGCCTG